AACGAAGAGAGCAGCGACGTCTACGGGGGCGTGTGGATCAATCTCTCACCAAATCCAAGCAGCGTCGGATGCTGGAGGAACATCATGGGGAGGACGACGACTTATGCCTAGAACTGATCCATGCGGAATCTCATTTTAACTTTATTAAGATGCATCTGCTCGGCCATTTTCCGGATCACATATATCAGTTCGGCAACATTCAAATGTATTCAACGGAGTTTGGCGAGCTCGCACATAAGGAACAAATCAAAGACGGCTGGCGGCGTTCGAACAAAAACAACGCCGCGCGCCAGATCCTACAGAGCTACAGTCGACAGCACGGGATACACATGAGACTCTTGAACCTGGACGCGCTTCGACGTCGAGGCGCAGATCTACCTCCGGAGGCCGTTGACATGTTGAAGGCAGAAGATACCGCATCTGGGTCTGTCACATGCCACAGGATCCTAAAGGGACGACGACGTGACGTTTCAAACATCGTGGATTTGGGCAAGGCGGTCGGAATTTCGACCAACAGCATTTGTGACGAATTGATCCGGTATAGCCGTCGCAGCCTGCCAATGGAGCGCTCGCTTCCCGAAGATCCTGCAATACTTCGACTACTTCCGACTGAACTGATGACGCAACTTGAAATCCCCATTCCCGCGTTCCAGGAAACCGAAGTTTATGATGTCCACCGGGCGCGGTGTACGGGTTCTCAGCTCTTCCGCAAGCAACAGAGTCGCAATGATTTGGTTTGGGTGCAGGCAGGAGGGGAGCACATGTATGGTGCCCTCAGAGGACGTCTTCCCGCTAGACTCAGGGCGCTGTTCAAGATCCGGGACTACAGGCACCAGGATAGGGTCTACAGACTCGCAATGGTAGAAATGACAAGTGTGGTTAATTCCGGGCGGCCATCCGATGCCCATGGTCTCGTCACGGTAGAGCAGAGGACAGAGGCACAACAGTTTCCAATAGTGGACATTGGGACCATTCTGGGCCAGGCGCACCTGGTCCCAGCCGGTGACCGGCGTTGGCTGGTGAATAGTAGAATCGATTTGAGGACGTTCAATGAGATCTATTGAGATCGCATCCGAGGGAACGAATGGAGGCCCTGTGGTGTATCCTGCGTCGCAAGGCAGGATACACCACAGGGCCAGCAGGGAGCGTCGAAATCCCTACCATTGCGTAGTAACTCAAACTGTTGGTAGAAATCATTGCGTAATAGTAGAGTAAAAATTAATGATACAAGATTCAAGTTGAATGAGATTGTGTTCAGAACCAGAGAACGTGTACTAGTAAACCAAGAACAGGGTGTGATGATGTGCGACGTGGGCCTTGGTCGGAGCTGGCATCAGCTTGGAGACAGGAGAAGATGTGGACATCGCGATGGGAGCTCGGGCATCAAAACTTTCATTTCGGCATCAGAAAGGTGACGCCGTAGACTCGGACATGCTGACCGGGGGTAAACATGGAGGAAACGAGAACCGAGAGATGGCCGTCAGAGATGAAGAAAGCCGGGCCCGGGAATCAAATTGGTAGTTAATGGATTGCGGTAACGGCGGCTGGAAACTAGCAATCAGGAAAGGAGCGAGAACAGAGCATCAGGATGCGGAGAAAGCTTGATCTCGCAGTTGACCTCGGGTCGCGGCATCAGGACGACGACAAGATTGGATCAGAAACAGGACGCGGTCCGGACGTATGGGCGGACGGCGCCTGCTTGGAGACGGAGGGAATCGACAGGGTAAAAGGGGGACGCAGATGACGCAGGGGGGCGTTGCGCCAGAGTAGTTGACCCACGGGACGCAGGGGACGCAGGGGACGCAGGGGACGAGCGCGCTGCGTCGGGATGTGAGACGCGCGGATCTGACGGAGAATGAATTTTTGCTGATGCCGGCGTGGCAAGGCAGTGGTTTATTCAACTACCATTAAGAGATGGCACCCAAATGATAATAGCAGATTCCTGGGACGCAGCCACTCCCGGCCAGCCCCGCTACTTATCCACAACCAGGAGGAATGGGAAGTGGAAGAGATACTTGACCACAGAAAGCGCTATGGAACCGATCAGTTCCTGATCAAATGGAAAGGTTATCCAGACTCGGAGAATAGCTGGGAGCCAGTGGAAGGAATCGAGAATGCGATGACCCTTGTACATGAGTGGTGGGAAGCCAACATGCCCGGAGAACAACTACCCCCCACCATCAACCACATAACGATAGCTTGATCACCCACCTTGCCTACCACACAACGAATACTCGAAGATCCCTCTACCAGACCAGATTTCTGGGCTCCCTATGATGCAAATGAGTTTGAAAGCAGTAGTGACGAAGACCAAACGATGGCAGATGATATAGACTCCTTTATCTAACGGCACACTCCCTACCCGAATACCTTAAGGATGGAAAACTATGAGGAACTGAATGTGAGGCTACGCCATCAGCTTGTGGGACTGTTGGTGGACCGCGGTACTATCCTACTTGAAAACTATTTTGATACCCTTTTGGTTGATTACTGCCCGAATTGCGAGGACCTGTTAGTGGAAGTATGGGAAAGGGCGGCAGGTATTCACAATTACTGTGACTTTCATTTCATTTATTCCGATTGTTTTTTGCAATTTCGGACATGTGTATTTTGTATTGGTGATGGAGATTGGGCGCTAGCTGATGAGGAATATGGTGAGGACTTTTATGAGGATTTTGATTTTCGAGATTATTGATTTGTTTAGGCAAACAGATGTTTTGTTTTGGAGAATGTAACCGGAACTGGAGTTCAGTCCGTTCGGTTCAAGGATTTGTTTTATGTTTTGTTTTACTTATAGTTTCGAGTATCCTTTGATACTCAGTTTGTTTTACTTGTGGTTTCGAGTATCCTTTGATACTCAGTTTGTTTTATGGTTTTGATAAGGATGATTTGGAAATCTGCCCATGTAGGACATGGACGAAGTTTGTATTTAAAGACCGCTGATTCCCTCAGAGGAACGGCAGACTTCGACGGACAGAGTATTTCTAATATACTTGGTTGAACGGTTACCTCTTCAAGTCCCTATTCTTTATATCTTTCTCTCGAAGCCTCCCTTAGCGCAGTACACCCATAGCTTGTCGATCAACTTGTGCGCTACTCCTATTGTACCCAGAAGCGTGATTAGCACCCCGGTGCGAACACGTTACAAATATGATCTTTTAGTATACTCAGGTTTTCCATGTTTTTACTAGTATTACAAGACTTGTAGGTTAGTAATTTTATATTTGCAAATAGTACTAGATAGAGTTAATGCATCCTATTGGTATTCAAAAAATATAGAAGTACAGTTGGTTTAGTATACATGATCTTGACATACTTATCTTATCTTACTTATTGACTATGATAGAAATAACAGTATATAGAAAAGCTATCGTGCTAGAGTATTGTTATAATAGTGAAATAATTATTGATAGATATCTTAAATTCAGTAAACTAACTTGTTACACTGTCCGGTACTGTACTCAGAATGAGTCCCCCCAGAAGGTCATCCAGCAAACTTTCAGGGGTTGCAGCACCCTAGCAGCAACCTGGGCACAAGTAAATTATGTTATAAATATCTCACCAAGGCGGGCTGTGTATGCAAGCACCCAACTGTATTACAAGAGGGATAGTTTACTCCTGGGTTGATTAACAATTATGCCATCTTTTCTTTTCAGTCGGAAGGCTTTGGTGTGTAAATTCTGATTGCATACTATGAAGAATAGATCAACTCCGGGGCTGAGATCCGAGAAATCAATTTTTCGACCACGAGGGTGAGCGCCTCTGTTTATAATCCTCACCTTTCCCCAAGTCCCCCTCCTGGCTCAGAGCAAGTATTTCAAATCACCTTACCTAGAACGTTTACCCTGCGACCTCTTTTAAGCCCTGGGGCTAAGTTCTTTCCCTTCTCCGGACGAGCAGCAAGAGAGATTTCGTTTATCAAGTCGCCGGTGAGCCAATGACGAGTTTCAGAAAGTGGTTACCCAAATGGGCCGCGGTATCCCATGGCAATTATGGCCACGACAGAGGCGACAGAGAAGAGGGAGGCGAAAACTCCTCTTCGACAGAATTATCATCCTTAGGAACCGAGTGCAGTCGGGAGCACTTGAACACCTCGTCAGTATGGAAGCCAGTTTGGTACACCGGTTGGCACGCAGGTGTCTTAGCATGCGCCACATCTGCAGTAGTAGTTCTCTTTATAAACGTTGGTTTAACAATCTACGCTGCCACGAACCCAGGGTACGAGAAGCAAGGGGGAATTGTGACGCTGTACAATGGCGGCAGTTGTGATCAGAGCAAGAAGATTGGGACGTGGTTGCACCTGGGGATAAATGCCCTTTCCACTCTGTTGTTGTCAGGAAGCAATTATACGCAGCAGTGCCTTGCAGCCCCGACACGCAGGGAGATTGACGCTGCACATGCTAGGAGACAGTGGATGGACATCGGTGTTCCGAGTGTTAGGAACTTGTTTAGGATTAAGCGGGAGAGAGCCTTCTTGTGGATTGTAATTGGGTTAACAAGCGTTCCCTTGCATCTACTGTATGTTTGTCGATAATGCCACCCCCGCCCCAGCTTTGGGACTGAAGCTGATTGGGAAATTCTAGCTACAATTCTGCGGTGTTTACTTCAATAGCGGTGGGTGACTTCGTCGTGGCCTTTGTGACCAGCAATTACTTTGAACTAGGGGCCTACTCAAACTTTACGGCTGCGTTAGGGGGGTATGAGCTCTGGGAGGACCGGGTGCCGAAGCGCAGTCTGTTTGGACCTGCACTCAGGGACTACTGGGAGAACTCCCAAACATACGAAAAATACGAAGAATCGAAACTTTCTAACTGCATAGACATTTATAAAACCGACTTCGTCTCCGGCCATGGCAACTTATTTCTGACCACAAAATATCCTTCCAACGCCCCGCACAAGAATACCCTCCTAGGCATGATCTCTATCGATGCCGGTGGCACCCGGTCAAGTAGTTGGATGTGCTCTTACGAGATGGCGATCGATGTAGGCCATATTTACAGGAGGGATTATTTCGTCTGCGATCCAGGCGACGTAGCATCGAATGTGGCCAAGAGGCTTCCATGGCGGTTGAAGTTCACAAACGGGAATGAGGTAGAGATTACCGGGTGCACGAGCAAGAAGATAGAGGAGGATTGCAAAGTGCAATTCTCCTTAGGGATCATGATCGCCGTTATCTTCTGCAACCTCGTTAAGGCTTGCTGCATGATCATAGCGGTTGTCAGAACTCGGGAGCCCACACTGGTTACTTTGGGTGATGCTGCAGACTCTTTTTTGAGAATCCCGGACCAGACGACGATTGGGATGTGCTTTGCCGATCGGAGGTTCGTCACGCGGGAGTGGAGGCGTGGGGGGAGGCCCGGAGCAAGGCGGTGGAAGCAAAAGGGGGTGCAGAAGTGGTGGAATAGTGTTAGTAAGAAGAGGTGGTTGATCTGTAATTTCTTTTGCTTGACAACTATTATTGTTGCAGGGGTCTTACTCCGGATGGGAATACAGAATGACATGGCATACGGGAGCAGGGGCCCCAAATCAATGTATGTTCTCGTATTCCCCGTGCATTCGAGCACTTCCTTCGTGCACAATATTAACAGATAAATCAAAAAAGGTGGCACAAAGGCTTCGGCAAAGTTAACAGCGTCTCCCTGGTTCGTTGGAAATTTAGAAACATAACCGGGGCAACCCTCCTTGCGAACCTTCCACAAACAATCCTCTCGTTCCTTTACTTAACCTACAACTCCCTATTCACCTGCATGCTCTTGGGCCACGAGTGGTCTCTCTTCGCCCACCACCATCGCACCCTCCGCGTCACGTCACCGCGGCCAGGGCAGCGTTCCACATACTGGCTTCAAATACCCTACACCTACGGCATCCCTCTAATGACTCTGAGCGGTCTCCTCCACTGGCTAACCTCGCAATCGATATTCCTTGCGAGGATCGAGGTAACGGGGCAGGAAGGGGGGGAGCCTCTAACGAAAAATGTTGTAGGGTACTCTTGCATTTCCATCGTTTTCGTTATCATCCTTGGGAGTATTGCATTGGTAACTGCAGCCGGGATGGGGTCTAAGGCATTTGCTGCGGAGATCACTACTGTCGGGAGTTGCTCTGCCGCGATTTCCGCCGCATGCCATGCTTGGGGGGAGGATGGGGAGAGGATAACAGGGAGGAAGATACGGTGGGGAGATGTGGGGTTTGTACGAAGTCAAGGGGCGAGACATTTGACTTTTTCGAGTGAGGAGGGCATTGGGGTTGGAAAGCCGGTGATTGGAGAGGTTTATGCTGGGATAAGTGAGAAGGAGGAGTAATGGCTTTTTGATTCTGGTTCTGAAGATTTTCCTTTCTTTTGGCTCACTATTGGGAAAAAATTGGCTTTTGAACGTTGTAGTTAAGCTACCCACCGCATAATATATTTTGGTGGGTGGGGGGTATTGGATCATATTTTTTTGGGTAAGCAAGATGCGCTAGGTGGTTGTGAGGGTTTGCAAACTTATTATTAGTGTTTCTCAACTGCCAGCTCGAGCCGGCTTGTGCTTGGTTTTGTTTGTTGTCACAAAAGATCACTCGCTAAACTATTTCCGAAGTTCCTGATTGTCATGTGATCTAGTTCCCGAGCCTCAACTTCTCATCAGCCCAGCCACTTTTTCGGGGGTAACGCAGGAAATGTATTGGCCTCCCGGCTCCTTGTTAGGCCACCAAGGGAGTGTACAAATGGCTTCCTGTATATGGGAGACTGAATTTAACTAACCCCCACCCCCCCTTACTCACCACGGACTTGGCACCTAATAAAAGGCATTTTTAGATATGACAGTTTCCTCCGGTCTCTTCCCACCCTTTCCCTACCGATTAGTAAAAAAAAAAAAAAACTGTTTGACAATAACTCAAGCTAAAGTTTTGATTAGTTCAAGTCTCTGAGCTGCTTGGCTGCTGAGGAATATTGTTTGTTGTACCACAACCGAGCCCTAGATCTCGTGTACTGCTAGAAGCCGTAAGAGGCCTCAGTGTTCTACATGTTTACATACCTAGCGAGGCCCTAGCATGATGGTACCCGTTATTTGCCGGATAGTCCCCATTAGGCGATGTGGCGTAAACAGCGGCTTAAATAATCTTGGAAGAGTTCCTCAGCCCAAGGTGCCTACTGTGTGCAGTACCTGTAGGGCGGGAGCGTAACACAGTATACACCACCGACGGGTGTTCTCGCTCCGGGCTGGTTGGCTAGGTGACCCTTGGGCTCTGGCAATCCCCTCTGCGCGCTTTTTCTAGCCTGTCTACAAGAAACAATAGAATATACCTCCCCGCCCTTGCAAAAGTTCTCATCCTGTGCTTCCCCGAGAACAATAGTAGTGATCAACAGCACAAGGGCGGTGCTCTTAGGTAAGTGTTTTCAGATATACCTCTGGCGACGCCGTAAAGGTTTATCACAATTTGCTTCACCGCATGTTGGCAAGGGGCTAGCACTGCATTCCTAAAGGCTCGAAGTACTAGGATGGATATCCGCACCTGCTATGCCGGTATGTAGAGACTGGTGTCTTAACCCCTTCCCCCTGTTGGGCTGACGGCCAACTTGTTCAAAAACCTCTCCATGCCCTCACTTTCTCCGATTTTTTGTGAGACTTTGCAGTATAGAAACTAAAACACGAAAAGGCCATACCGGATTACTATGGAGTCATGGGATATCACTCGCCCACAATTAACGGGACGGGAGGAAGCTCGCCGACTGGGCTCGGGAGACTTTTTACCGGGGATCTATATATAGAACTAGGAGGACATCCCCCGAGCCTTGGGGATTGGGGGGTGTTTTCCTCGCTTCCTCATGGGGGACCCAGTGACGGCGATAGGGATGGCCGCGGCCACGGCCATGGCGGCAACTATCATCCACCTATCCTCTTTCACTACACCCCTCCGCTCTTTCTGCTTGCCTTGTGTCTGTGCGAGCCTGTACACCAACCGGGAGCGTGCTGGTCGCGAGGAGTTTGGTGGCGATCTTGGAGGTTTGTGCTAGGCGCTTTAATTCCGGGTTTACTAGCTTTGGTTTACGAACGTTTGGTCAAAGACGTAAGAAGTCTAACCTAACGACCCCGGTATCTTCCGTATGGGGGGAGGCGACGATTTTTCTAACTTTCCCCCGAGCGGATGAGAATTTTTACCGATTCCCCCTTCCAACTCGTTTTCGTCCCTTCAATGGGAATCTTACCACCTTTGTCACCAACAGGGGGCAAATCACTCACTCCTGGTAGCTAGAGATTTCGGCTTGGTTCCGTCAGATATTTTCTCCAAGAGCAGTGCGTTGGGGTTCCGTGGGGCATTAGAGGTTCCGGGAAAATAACTTCTGTCGGCCTCACTTAACGTTGGTGAGGGTTGAAATGTGGCGGGGGGCTAGCTTAAGCCAAAGCACGGGGTTAACAGAACTGCCTTCGAAAGGTCTGTTATGGCTCGGCTGTGTCACTGAGTAGAAAGGTGAGAAATGAGAAAGTTATTGGGAACTTGGGAAAACAGGCACTCTTTGTTGCTTCTCCCAACAGGGATATCTTGACATTAATTGCGATTTTCGTCACCAGTCTTGATGAGGTTCTTTATCGGACATTCCTCACATTATGGACTCCATAATCACACCTTCTACGACTCCGGCCTGCTGTTTTTCATAACCTGTTCTTTTACGCTAATGTTCTAGCTGTTGTATTGTTTCTGCTACTCGGTTTCCGCCGTCATGTGGTTGGTGCGCTCTGGGATGGCGACATGGGATACATACTCCGGATACTTTATATCTATTTAACTCACTATACTTCTTTCCCGAATCCTATTGGTCCTTTAATCCGGTAAATTAACACAGAGAATTGACTGGTGGAAGGTAGTCACTGACGCTCTTTCCAACCACTCGGCGCTTTGTACAGTATCGTACCTATGGTTCCAGTGTTGGGGACTCACTTCTACAGGTATTTGGTTATATACCTTGGAAGTTGGTAGGAGAGTTTCGCAGTAGCAGAGATTTTCCTACTTTACTTCTAGTCTGGTTTCGCCTTGAGTTTCAAAGTTCGGAAGGAAGGAAGGTACAAGATGGTATGACCCTCGTCGGTAGTGCTCGGGAGTATTCGGTATTTCTCGGTTAATTGGCTGCGTTGGTGGAATAACTTCTGTCGGCAAGAGAAGGACCACGGAGGACTGGAGAGATACCGGAATTGCCGTGAACTCGTGAAGTAACGTTAGTATCTGGAGTCAGTGCCGGATGGGTGGGTTGCTCTATATTAAACCCCTCCTACCTCATAGAGAAGAGGACTAGCAACCAGAAAATATCTAGAAACCCTATCTCATTCTCCTTTATTTTCTTTCCTCATGTCCTGGCTAGCGCATCTTACAAAATCTACATGGATAATATGGCTCAGTTGAGCCCCCTATAATCTCTTAATTTCCTCTATGATCCTTCGCGTTCCCCTGTAATCCCCTACTAAGCCCTCTAGTCCTCTCACATACCCTACTGCCTTCCCACTTCTCCGAAAGTGATCTACCGCGACCTGGCATCTTTTGGAGATGTCGGTGTTGCCAGGGCTCCGTAGGTAGGCCCCATCGGTCATAGCGAAGCCCTACTCACGGAGTCTGCTACACAATTCTCTGTACCTAGGACAGCGTTTACCACCCTGATTAACGTATTCCACACCATAACGAGCGCCCGGCATAGCGAGCCTTCTGCAAGTCTGGGCAACATGATTGGTTGAACGCCGGTTGAGATTGGAATAGTGGTTGGTATTTGGGTGGATGGCTCGCTATGAGGGGGGCTCGCTATGGTGTGGAATACGTTAGGCCAGTTCAGTCGGAAGCCCCCCTGACGCCCCCATAGAGCACACAGGAAGTCCAGAACCCTCCCCGTATCTCCTACCCGTTTGTCCTCCATGTTGTCTATCCGTAAGCGGTGTCCCCTCTGCTCTTTGTTACCTTAATAGATAATAATTTCAGCTTTAAATACAATTTTCAACATCAGTTGAGTAAGGTTGACTTACGCTGTTCGAAGAGAAGCCAGGACTTGAGGTCCGTTTACCTATAGGCTGCCGTCTATCAGATGGAGACGGAACCGGCCCTCAAGGCAGGTTTGACAGTTGTACCCAGTGTTCCCAGCCATCCGGGGGGCCGGCGGGTCCCCACGGGGAGACTGCCAAGAGCCCTGGACGAGACGGGACGGCCATGTGCAGTCTGTCCTGGGCGGTGAAAGTGGAGGACAGCTGTCTTTACGTAGGGCGGCAGGCCCTACGGGGTGGAACAGCGTTGGTAAGGGGGACGGTGGGGAACTATCATGGACAGTGTTCCCAACCGTCCCGGGCGCCCTACAGGGCCCTGGCGGGCTTGTAGTCCCGGGCGTCCCGGGCAGGGTGGGTAAGGACGGCAGGGCATAGCGTCCGTCTTTGATAAAGACCCCCGTCCGAGGGGTTGACGCCCGGGCCCGGGAGTCTTAACACAAATGGCATCTTCCAGCCGTCATTTGCAGAGCCCAGCCGTCATCTGCAGGACCCGGCCGTCGTCTATAGGGCCCGGCCGTCATCTATAGGGCCCAGCTCTCATCTGCAGGGCCATTTGCAGGTGAGACACCTATAGGGCCCGGCCGGCCGTCCCGGGTAGTGGTTAGGACGGACCACAAGACGAGCGTCCGTCCAAGGCAGAGTTCCAGAAACCAGTGTCCATCCCGTCCGAAGCCAAGGCCGGACGGACTGGACGCTTGGGAACGCTGATCATGGACGGCGGGTGACTGCGGGTGACTGCGGGTGACTGCGGGTGACTGCAGGGGAACAACATATTATACCCTAAAGAACCTCAAAATTGTTGAGACCTTGTGGCTGACACGGTCATTTTGCTCATATGATTTCAGGCAGTAGGACGCTAGTCCTCCGTAGTCCGTTTAACCCTACCAGTCCCTGGCGTAGTCCGTCCTAGCACTGCCGAAAAGATGGACCATCTAGAGTGGTCTCATCTTACCTCAAAGACGGACAGACTAGATAGTTAGGAACACCGGTTGTACCTATGCAGAGGGTGAGGAGGTGTCTACTTAGAGTGCCGTCCGGAGTGTTTGATGACGATTGCAACCACATCTCGGGAGTAATGTCTCATTTTAGGGCCCGTTTGCCTA